GTTGGTTATCTGTGGAAATATATTTAATAACTATTACCTTTTGCTCTACTTTTTCTCTAGGGAAATGGTATTTAATGTCTATGTGTTTCAATCTTTTATGATCGATGGGATTATTAGCTATTGCAGTACAGCCATTATTATCTTCAAATATTGTTATTGGCTTTATTATCTTAATACTCGTTAAAAGATATTTTAACCAGCAGGCCTCTTTAATGCCTTTAGGAAGAGCTGTATACTCAACTTCTGTAGATGTAGCTACTGAGTTTTGTCTCTTAGTATTCCAGCATANATAACAAGTCGGTATTTCTTTTCTCCACTAGCGTCCATCTTTTTTGGAACAATCCAAACAGGGGAGCTGTAGGGGCTAATAGACGGTCTTATGATTCCATCCCTCAAAAGCTTTTGAATTTGTTCTTGTATTTGTTTCTTCAAATGCTGAGGATGGCGATATGGTCGAACGTAAACAGGTTCATCATCTTTTGTTCTGATGTTATGTTTAACTTGATTAGTAAATGTTAATTTATCTTCATTTTTATGAAATATTTCCGCATACTTATTTATTAATTCCAATAATTTAGACTTTTCTTCTGTTTAAATGATCCATTCTTAAAATATTTTCGATGTTAATATATTCTTTTTTGAAAGTGTAATCAAGTTCTTCTAGTTCATTCATAGTTTCAGATCGTTGGTTTCTATAAATAAATAAAGATTATATTTTTACTCCTAGAAACTGTTGCAGATTTTACTGTAAAAGGTTGTTAAAAAATGTACTCGTCAGGAAAACAAAATGCAATTTCGAGGTTAATTATAGGATAGTCTGTGCCAGTGTCAATTAAAATTTTTAAGCCGTTGGGCAATATAATAAATGACAATTTTGGCATATTAGTGGCGTTATTTAGGTCAGCTATGTCGTCTGATCTGTCTGTTGATAGTTTTCATTTTCGTCTTCATAATTTTCTTCACTGTCGTAATTTTCCACATTTTCTTTAAAGTCGAATTCTTCTGTTTCGGGATAGGTTTGCTCTTCCATATTCGTTAATTCTTCAGAGATGAAATTTGGCGGACCAATACTTTTAAAATAATTAGCAAATCGTTGACGTGGTCGGGTTATACCAGGTGTAAATGTATGTCGGGTGCTTGTCGACATTGGGGTCGGCTTGACTTTATTTTTTTTTTCATTGCTTGGAGGTTTCCCAAATACTTGTTGTTTAGTAGGAAAATGTTGTTTTATTTCCCTTCGGATGTTTATAGGATTTATAATTTTAAAGAAAAATTAAAAGTATCATACCAAGGGGATTTAACTATTTTGTTATTTTGGGGAAAAATAATGCAAAAAATGGTCCGACATTCGTAGCAAGGATTGGGGTAATCCCAATAAAACCCAACCACACCATTATTCTACACTTAATTAATTTATACGATAACAAAGTAAATTATTATAATATACAAGTATTAGAAAGTAGACAAAAGAAGTTTTTTTTATTATTATTATTAATTAATTAGTAAGTATGTATTTCCATAATTTTTATAAATTAGATGTCTTCAATTCCCATGCCTTTTCGAATGAGTAAAAGATGTGTTGCTGGTAGTGGCTTTCTAAAAGTATCTGCAAGTTGGTTATCTGTGGAAATATATTTAATAACTATTACCTTTTGCTCTACTTTTTCTCTAGGGAAATGGTATTTAATGTCTATGTGTTTCAATCTTTTATGATCGATGGGATTATTAGCTATTGCAGTACAGCCATTATTATCTTCAAATATTGTTATTGGCTTTATTATCTTAATACTCGTTAAAAGATATTTTAACCAGCAGGCCTCTTTAATGCCTTTAGGAAGAGCTGTATACTCAACTTCTGTAGATGTAGCTACTGAGTTTTGTCTCTTAGTATTCCAGCATATGGTGTTTTGGTTAAACAATTTAAAAAGGTATCCAGCTGTATTTTTGCGATCTAAATCATTACTAGCTCAATTCTAATTTACAAATACAATTAATGTTTCTGTGTAGTTATTTCTTCTGTGTGTTAGTTTTAGTTTTAATGATCCTTTAACATATCGTAACCGTAATAAAATTTTGCGAAAGTTCTTGATTATTTTTAGTTTGAAATATACTTAATATGTTGAGAGAGTTGCTTAATCGGGACGGGTACATATTATGGCATACGTTAAACAGCTAATAAGATTTTTACAGGGAGCTTCATAATAAATTTCAAAATTTAGAGCTGTGTAATTTAATTTAACTAGTAGTGGTGTACTAACACTTACAATCTTTCATATCAAATTTATTTAAAACTGATTCTAAATATGCACTTTGATCTAGTGTGATGATATTGTATTTTGTTTTAATGTTTATAAATTGAAGAAAAAAAAATTGTATTTCATTCATATCAACCACTGATAATCGAATAAAATAATTCGAAGTGGTCTGCATTCTGTCGAAACTGCCAGACGTGGATCGCGATTTTGATCTTTTTGGATCTCATCAGCTCGTCGTAGGCAGCTCCGACAGAACACAGACCAACTTTTACCTGCTGTCTTAACAGTGCGTTTTAGAAAATACTACAAATGACTCGCAGTGACCGCCATCTATAGCACGATGCTACATTTTAGGATTGCGTATGCTCCAACAAGGTCCACTTGTGTGGATATCTACTTGCTGAAAACGAATCCTGGCGTAGCCAACCTCAACGTGATAGGCACGTTAGCTTAATCGAATAAAATAATTCGAAGTGGTCTGCATTCTGTCGAAACTGCCAGACGCGGATCGCGATTTCGATCTTTTTGNAATAAAAAAAAAAAACAATTTGCAATTCGAAGCCTGTCCGTTGACTTAGCAATGTAGATGTGCACAAATAGCAAACTGGGATTAAAACCCTCCAACTACATCAATGGAGAATGTAAATATTGGCAGTTATCGAATGTTTAAGATAAACAAATAATTAGCTGCAACATATAATGTTTGGACTTCTTATTACGATAAAAATGTATTAAATTTGTGTATTGTTGATAGCATACAGCAATGTGTAAATTACACCTCAACATGTACCCATTAAAAACACAAAAGAAACAAAAATGTAGGTCATGTAAACATTAGTAGGTAAATTAGATTATTTAGATAACTAATTTTATTAGGACAATTTTTCATAACACCAGCGAGGTATTGCAGTATTTTTTTTTTATTTGTGGTTTGCCAATAAACCTATCGTTCAACTAGGACTTCTTTATTAATTATTACTGATTATTGCATGTAAGTAAGCTTACGCTTATTTATTTGATTAGTGATTGGCGGCTAAAAATCAATTTCAAGCAGGACTTGCACTTGTTGCAAATGATAAGGGGCAGCAACTGTTCTTTTAAAATTTGCCACACTATCACATGAGAGGAGGGAATGCTTCTTGCTATTTCGCGTGTTTATTTTTGGGGTTGTCTACTATGAAATCAAGCATTTTGTCCTCTACAGCGGCGATATGGTTCAAACCCGTAAATAAGTATGTCACATCATTGTTACACAACAACTGTTCTACGGTAATATACTGACCTGTTCTAATGTTGTATTGTTGAGTTAGCTTTTTGAACTGTATATCGATTTACTAAATGGATGGTTTAAACGTTAAATGAATAAACAACCGGATGTAAGATAAACGTCTTGAATTAGAAGAAAAAAAAAATACATCATCCTGCCAATTACCAGTTGATAGAACATGACGTTGCGTTGTCGTATTTCATTACTATGGCCGGAATTAATTTTATATACAAACATAAACATAATTTTCTTACTTTATAGTAGGTACCCTGTCACCTACTACAAGTCCCGCACTTATTTCTGTTACACCATGTATAGGAAACGTTTTGAATGTGATGTAACATGTAACGTAATTATGATTACATTCACTCTACTTCTTTAAAAGTCAAAACCGATGTAAGCTACTATTCTTAGTTTATATCGTATAGTCTAGTGATCATAAGGTTTTTGGTTAAGTGACCTGTCAGACGTGGATCACAATTTTGAACAGATTATCAATCATCATGCCCGCTGTTATTTAGCGTTCAATGAATAATTACAGATGACGTGATGAGCGTCATCGGTAAAAAATTTTCCACTAGTTTTACTCAATAATGTTTAATTAATTGAAAAGGACTTTATCAAACATTAAACATTATTCAATCCTTCACTTAGTGTCAAATGGTGTTCACTATACCGTCTGCAATTATTCATTGAACTTTGTTTAGTGACAGCAGGTAGTTTGGTCGCAAGAAGACTAGAGATATGACTTGAAACTAGTAGGATTGCTTTATAAACGACGCGACCCTTAAGATCGTATAAACTGTGCTCTGTCGTTTCACCGAAATTGATGCATACTCACCCATCGCACAGCGATTCTGTTATTGCCTTTTCTTCCTTTTATTTTTTTCATAAAGCTTTACACTTTTCGGATTAAGTTTTTGCCCTTATTCCTAGTCTTCTTAAAATTAAAATTAGAAGGGCTTACTCTAATTAACGTGTTTTGCTCCTTTACTTACGTATTTGCGTTCATTAAAAATGTAGGTAATTAATTATTTATTAGTTTAATCCCTTTTGTTTTAATTATTTCCATTGCCACAATCTCGTTTTTTTATTTCTCCAGTTTTCTTGGTTGATCGGTGATCTGTTGGGAATTGTGTACAACGCGGCGATCTGATGAGAATCAATTAGTTCGAAGAAATCATATCTGACAGTTTCCACAGATCAGTTAGCCAAGAAATTTATATTCTGTTAGGTGTACGTACCGAGCACGTAGACTGCGACGTGAGTTTGACAAGTTGATATCCTTAATTGAAATAGCCAACATTATTGAATTCTACTATTAATGATAATGGCGTAGTGAAAGCCATCTGTAATTATTTATATTAGAAACGAACTGTTGCCATTATTTTTTGGATTGGTCCGTACAGACTATGTCCATAACGTAAACGAAATCTTTCAAAATAAGTAATTACTCATATTTTTGCCTTCTTTGATAGACATTTATTTCTAAGCTGCGTTGGATTAGGTACAGCTACCAATAGAAGCCAGTTGCAGCAAGTAGCAAGTAAGAGTCTTCTAGCTGTACAACAAGATAAGCTCAATGTAAATATGAAGAATTTAACCGACAACGCTATTTGTAGTCTTTTTAAATTAGGCGCATTGCAAACCAATGCTCAGAAACAATCCTCTTCTACTTCAACTTCATCATCTCATATTAGTTTAAGGATGGAGGTAACACACTTAAACTGTGCTCACTTTTCTATAATTTTTGAAATTATGTATTGTTTTTAATATTAGACATCGACTATCGTGAACGAATCAAAAAATAAAAATACATTGGAAACCCATTCTCAGAAGAAACCTACAATCACTCTGACGAATAATACTAAACTAATTATAAGTGAACTGGGGAAAGCAGCAATCAAAGGTATGTTTTCTTAAAAACAGGTGCAGTCAGTAAGACTGATGGTTGATTAAGGTTGTTGCCTCTATTTGCTTATTGCTTAGCCCAGTTAGCAGATGTTGTTTAATCGAATTTTTAAATCAGAAATCACCTAAATTAACCTATTTAGTTGTTGAAATGTCAGTATTCGGCCATAGAATCCATATATCCATATATATTGTACCAATGAAACGAATTGATGATAATATAATTACTTTAATATAATCTTGAAAGTGGATTATACAATTTAAAATGATTAGTCGACATTTTAGGTATAATAAATTATAATACTATAATAATAATCTAAGCCTACCTTATTAGATAATAAGGGGTACCTAGAAATGGCATGGAACTATCACGGTGAGTGAAGACGGTGAGCCGTGCATCTCTCGATTTCTTGACTTGACTATGATTGATTGTAATTATTGATTTCGCTATTTAAACGGTTGCTAATTGACCTACTAACATAGTAGGTTAGTAAGTGTTAACATGCAGTTTTAAATAATTAATTTAAATGTACCAACTTTGTACTTAATAAGAATTTATGGATACTATGTAACAATATAAGAAGTGGTAGGTTGTGACTATTACTAGACGCCCAACAACGGAATCATTAGGGTACTTTAAGAAGGGGTATCATGCTTAAAATATAATCTTCGAAAACGGTACCATCCAAACAAATCTAGACGACTTACATATTTATACTACTATAGTTGTTTAAATAAATACGTAATTACTACGCAGGGTGATTCTGAAATAAGTAGTAAGCCTGCAAGAGGTGATAGGCTATCATAGCATCCGTGTTGTATTTCTTTTGTATTTTTGTACTCATGTATTGTTATTAGGATTAAGTGTGATTGACGATGTTTATGTTTGCAACCAGCCTGGATTGGTTCTTTGTTCTTTTAACGTTATAAGCTTGTATTACGTATGTATGTAGACAGTCGAAGTCATTAGAAGTAGGTCAATGAGTCCGTGTCATAGGTCAGTACAGAGTATAAAGGAATAACCTACCCATCAAAAATTTAAAGAAGTAGCAAGAGCACAGTTAAAAAATTAAAACAGTTAAAGAGTTTTTTTCATTATATATTTACTCTATGAACCGGAACAGGGGATAGAGGAAAGTCTAGATTAGATTAATGTTCGAAAATATTTAGGGATATAGAATGTTTCAGTTTTAAGAAAATGCAAAGATTCGCTCAGAATAGGAAGGATGTGTTTGTTCAATCGGTCTTCGGACTGGGGACTCTATGATTTACCGGCTAAGTAAATGTGTAAATAGATGTATAACTTCTACCGTACGTACATGAGTACACATTCCATTTTTTTTGACCAAATTTCTTTTTTATCTTTCATTTTTTTGTGAATACATTAATAGGCAAGTTTACGTATTAATACAGTTGTATTTTAGGTTGTTTGGAGTTATCAAAAGCTCATCTCCTTTATGCCGATTTGACTCAAGCTCAAGAAAGTCTTGTTCTTTTAGATCACTTACATTTGTTGTACCTCGTTACTCCTTACGACCAATGTGAACAAATTAAACCGTCCAATTCTTTATATTATAATTTGGTGAGCGTTGTACATCTCTTTTTTTGTATGATACTTAAACTCACATTTTTTACTTCTTCTAGTTAATGAGACTAGGAAAAAGTGAAAAGAAAACCGCAAAAGTTCTGGGAATTACCGAATCTTGTACTACGAAGTTGTTTACAAATCAGCAGATAAAGGTAAGAAATATCCATTCCAAAAAAAAGTGATATCTACTATTGAAAATATTGAAATGAAACGCTTACTTTAATTTTTATTAAGGTAGGTACTGATTGTACAGTCCAATGACCTAGAAAATTAATTTGGTAAACTATTCGGTGCAGGACGACCGTCAGTAGGTTGTTTTGTCCCAAAAATGCACGTACTACCTGTTGTTGGTCTTGATAAAAATTATCGTGTTGAGCATTTTATTTTAAATTGCTATTGTTATTACTTGATATTTCTTTTTTTAGACTGTATCAGAGAACGTTTTGACTAGATTTTACGTTTCACTAATGTTGTATGATTTATGGAATGGTATGCCAGTATTTGACGTATCTGAGAAATACCAGGTAAAATACACTACATATTTATCTATTGCTTTAGTTAAGTTCATTTTATATTACATAATTTTTTCAGATTGATCGTGGATTAATTCAGAGTCTAATGATTTCATCTGCGACATTTGCATCGAATGTCGTTGGTTTTTGTGATGAAATTGAAGAGTTTTGGCCATTTAGACATTTACTTAAAAGTTTAAGTGAAAGGCTGTCTCACTGTTCTATGAAAGAGTTGCTTCCTCTTATGGAACTGCCATCCGTTAAACAGGTAAAGCTAATGTTAGATATTTTTGTTTTGAAATTTCAGTTGATATATTTAACTTCAAGTCTCGAGCCAAGCAACTTTATAATGCAGGATATAAAACACTTCAACTTGTTGCAAAATCTGATCCAAATGAACTTGTCAAAAATATTCAATTTATGTCCAAAAAAGTTGCTAATGAACTTAATGCAGCTGCAAAGGTGCGTGTTTACATTTCTTTAATTTTTACTTGATGTATTTATCGTTTCATTTTTTGAGTCAGATGGTTTTATTGGAAAAAGTGGAAACCTTAAGAGACGAAGCTGAAAATGTTTTACATGGTGAAGAATAATTAACTATTTCATTAATGTTCCATTGACACTATCAGTCAAGAAGACAATATTAGGAATTAAGTATAAATCATATATATTTCATTTGTGTTTTTTGTTACGCCAACGATTTTTTTAAGTTTTTAACATATTTGTTTTTTATATATTTATATTTTTTCTATTTTTATAATAAAAATAAGCGTTATTTAATATCATGCTATATACATTAATCTTTTAGTATTTTGTAGGCGTTCATGCATGAGCAGTACCTAAATCTATCACGTATTTGTTTTGTTTTTTTTTGTTTTTGTTTTGATTTTTAAATCTGATAGTATTTAAAACTGTTTATATTGTCATATGTATGTATGTAGGTAACCCAACATACATAGTGTCAAAGAAGACCGGTTTTCTAGACGGTAAAATTCTAGAAACCGTTAAGTCCCTATAAATAATTGTCGCGAGATAGAGTGGAGTCCGTACGAGTCAGAAAGTTCGAGGCGATAGAAAGACAATAAATAGCGAAAAAGTGATAAAGTGTTTATATAATGGTGAATTGTTAACTACTTAATAATAGAAGTGTTAATTAGATGGAATATAATTAAAAATAGTGGTAAAAGTGTGAGAAGGAGTTTAAATACGTGACAATGTTGTTGGTTTGTGCTGATTTAAACGTTAAGTGAATAAGACTTGTATGGTGTCAATGTAGTTCGTCGTATCTAGTGACAACAATCATTTTCTAGTAGTTTGGGTAGCAGTAAGTCTTAACCTAAAAATTACACTTACTTGTATAAAAATGGGAGGGAAAATAGGAGGAGCAATGGTTACTGCTTATGGTTTTCTTAGTGGTAAATTTTTAAAGCGAAAATGGTTAAAACTAATACAGCGAAAAAACTTTACACATACAAAACATTCAGTTCAATGCGAATATAGTAGTGTTATTAAAACTGATAAACATCATTAAAGCAATGGCGACTTCACAGATATTTCCATAACGCCAAAATTGAAATAAAATAAGATTTATCTAGTTGTTTAACTGAACATAAAGTTTCTATAGGAAAAACTTTGGTAATGAAAATTTAATAAGAAATTTTGATGACTAGGTTACTAGTTATCCAGGTATAAAGACAAAAGGATTGTTTAGAGAAAAGTTTAAATTTACTAAACAAAGCAATTAAATTATCAAATTACGAGAAAGAGCAAAATTTTGAAAATGTAAACCAATTTGAAAGTTTTACAAATCAATTTCTTGTTAAAAGCTTATACATCTGCTACTATTATTATGTGTCGTTATATATGTTACGGGCCAAGTGATTAATAGGACATTATAAAAAATGTCCGCGCAATTTGAAATACGCCCAATATGAGAAGGCAGTGTGATAATAAGTATAGAAATAATCAAATCGATCGGGCATTATTTATAACGCACGTCACTTATGGGGCAGAACAATTAAAACATTACATCTTGCATTAATTTAGCTGCTAAGATTAGGTTTGACTACTAATACTTTCTTCGGAACGTTACGTTTCTTTTCACAGTTATCACAAGTTTATATCATCATCATAAGGTCGTCAGTCCTAAGACTGGTTGGACACGCACCTCCACTGTTTCCTAATCTTTGCATTTTCCCAAAACTAGAACAAACCACATCCTTAATTATTTCCGAACAGTAATCTAATCTAGGTCTACCTCTTACTCCTCTCCCGTTTGTGCCTCTAATATGTCTCTGACTAGATCTTCATGCCTGAGAAGGTGTCCTACCAACCTATCTCGCCTATTTCTTATTGACATCCATAGTTCTCCTATTCTTTCTAATACCTCTTCATTTTTAACCTTTTCTATCCACGGTATCTTCATCATTCGAATATAACACCACCTATCGAACGTTTCTATCCTTTTCTTTTCCACCGCGCCAACCGTCGCATGTTTTTCGCACCTGTGCAACGCCGCGCTCCAAACATACACATTTAACAATCTTTTCCGAATTTTTAAATTCACCGTTCGCGATCATAGAAGTGATCGTCTTTTTATTACATTTATTACAATACATCTCTACGTTGCAGCTCCAACTCTATAATTACTTGTTGCTCTTTATACAAACTATGTATCACTCTATGTCTTTAACTCATCCCTACATTTTTAAATATATGTAACATATCGCCCTATATACCATTGTCAGAAGGTGTTTCTAAATCTATAAATGCTATGTGGGCACTCTTTCTCTTTCTACCTCCCGCGTTCCTCTATTTCTTTTAAACCCAAATTGATCTTTCCCTAATAGTTCTTCCTCCATTTTTTTCTATCCTATGTACAATTCTAGTTGAGATTTTTGAAGCATGGGAAGTTAATTGTTCTAAATGTCTCGTACCTATTCGCATCTCTTTTTAGGTATGGTTACTACGACGTTCTGTTTATAATCGTCTGGGACTTTCCCCGTCTCGAAAATGTAACTAACTAGCGTAAACAAGTTTTAGAACTTCCGCTTGTATCCCATCTGTACCTAGCGCCGTATTATTCATTAAGTTTTTTAATGCTACATTGAACTCATAACCTAGCTCTCCTATCTCGACACTATCTTCCTTCTCTAATATTTCTCCTAACTCATTGCCTGCGTATAGGTTCTCTAAATACTCTTTCTACCTATCTGCTTTTTTCTCATTTTCTGTTAGTATGACCCCTGACTCGTTCCTTGTATTACTGCTGTACCTTACATCTCTAAAATTCCTTTTATTTGTATTATAAGCCTCGTCCGTTTTACCTACTTCAAACTTTTCTTCTACTTCTTTACACTTCATATCAATCCACTGTTCCTTCGCTGCCCTACACTTCGTAATTATTTCCCACTTTATAGTCTTATGTCTTTTTTGCCCTTCTTCTGTCCTGTTTTTGTATTTCCGCCTTTCTTTTAATCTTACAATCTCGTTTGTTATCCAGGTTTTCCAACTTTCGGTTTTGACATATTTTAATGCAGTTCCATTCTGTCTTAATGTCTCTGTCATTCAATTCTGCCGTCGGTTTTAGTATTTCGTCTGTTCGTGTACCTAGCCTATCACGCATTTCGTTACATTTTAGCAAGTCAAGACGTCTCCTACCTTCCCTCTTTTTCAGAATTTTTAATTTGAGGGTGGTCTTCATAATTACTACGTTATGATCGCTATCTATATCTGCTCCTGGGTAACTCCTACAGTCCTTCACTTGATTTTTGAATCTGCCTAACAAGTATGTGATTTAACTGATATCTCCCTGAATCACCTGCCTTCTTCCACGTATAGCGCCTCCTAACGTGATGATTGAATAAAGTATTTGCGAAGGTTATGTTTATCGCAAAATTCTATCAGTTTATCTCCGCTATCATTTCTATTGCCTGATCTAAAAGAGCCTGGTATTGCACCGTCTTTACCTTCACCGATTACTTCGTTGAAGTCTCCTACAACTTTTAGGTTATCCTGTCGTTTCACTAAACATAACACGTCTTATATATCTGCATAAACTGCTTTTATGTCTTCATCATTGTAACATTAATCCCGTACATTTTCACCGGCTTCGTGTTTAATTTAACCATAACTGTCCTATCGCTTTTTTGTAAATAACTTTCTACATTCTGCCCCGATTTCCTACGCATTACAATTCCTACCCCCGAATTACCTTCCATCGATCGTGTATGTAATATTCCAATTTCCCTACTTGCCTCATTGTCCTGACATTCCACGCTCCAACTCATGAAATATTGCACCTTCCCCTATTGCACTTAATGATAACGTTCACTGAGGTAGTCCCCGCCCGCACATCCGAATGGGGGGCTAATTTACGTTCGGAGTGCTTTACCCCAGAGGACACCATCATTTATTTTGTAGAGTTGTACGTTTTGCACGGGATAATAATGTGGTGGTTTCCCGGTACCTCTAACATTACAGTATTGTGCATCAGAGTGCTATACCGATCTTCGTGATGTCTGCCACCCTAAGTACTGAAAATCTACTGTCTACTTTCAAGGACTTGTCTTTGTCTGGTTTCTCTTTTAAAACCCCTCCCCTCCCATTATGGTTGAACATATGGTCCGGCTCCCTAAATCATTGAAAATTAATGATCAACCCACTGTAGTTTGTACAAGAGCATTAATCAAAGTCCCGTCGGATTGGATTTTTAAATAAATGACAATAATTTCTCTTGTAATATTTTTATAGCGCAAATTTAACTCTTTCTCTGTTCGGTTTCTTCTCCCATGTTTAATTATCAGGTGGGTGTCGTGTAGAATCTGAAATGGTTCAGTAAATAAAAGAATATCTAAGCAGTCACTTAAATATAATCGTAATAATAGCCTACCTTATTACATGTATAATTGGGTAAAGTAAAAAATGACAGGTAACCATTACAGGGTGAGTGAAAGCGGCAAGTCGTCTCACTATTCTTCATTACCTACAATTCTAAATAGATAATTTAGATGTACCAGCTTTGTACCAGTGACCTAAATAACATTTTATGGATGGTATCTTGCGATTCCGTTACTTTATATTTCTACATCTACATTTGCAATTTCTACATCTACATTTGCAAGTGTTTTATCTTAATTGCCCTTTAACACTACCACTGATCACAACTTATTTCTTCCTTTACTTTAAAGATTTCGATTCTTCTTTTTACATAATTCCTTCAATGTCTTATTGACCACCCGTCAGCAGAACTACCACATCGATCTTCATTTGCCAGTAATACCAGTACCAAAACCATATCGTTCAGAAGTTGCACATTTACTTGTTGCAAAACGAAATAACCATACCATTGTGGCACCCCCTTTTGTGACCAACCATATTACCATATTGTTAGTGGAACTACTCTTCCACTTTGCTGCATCATTATCTTCATCTTTGCATACCATGGCGAAGTAAATTTTCGGAACTTAAGCACTAGCTAATTCTTTCTTACGAGTATTGGACTCGCCCTTCTTTCTGGAAAACCATTACGGATTTCAATAGTACTCCTGGTACTCATAGACTATGATGTATGGTTAACATGGATAACTCAATGCCAGTGCTGCTTACACTTGACGATTCCCAAAAATAATGGACTCGTTTCCAGATTTAAGGTATCCCTATGACCTTTTCGGTACCTAATAATGTGTGTACAA